CATCAACTTTTGTGCAAAACTTAAAAATCTGGGTACTTATGCAAAGTATGTCTCATTAAAAAAATAGCCAAGGGCTGAATATTGTTTGGCAGTTAAGAAGTGTTTACTGCTCTTGTGTAGGACCTAGGTTTGAATCCTAACACCCACATAGTGGCTCACAACTATCTATAACACCTATAATTCCAGTTCCAGATGATCTGATGCCCTCTTCTGATGCCCACAGGCTTCTGTATAAATCTTTACACACACATTCACTCATGCACACATAATACATAAAAATAAAATTATCAAAAATACCAGCCGGGCATGATGGTGCATGCCTTCAATCCCAGAACTTGGGAGGCTGAGGCAGAAGGATCTCTGTGAGTGTGAGGCCAGCCTGATCTACATAGGGAGTTCCAGGACAGCCTGAGCTACATAATAGAAAGATCTTGTCTCTAACAAAACAACGAAAATGCCATACCTACAAGGCCTAGGATACTTCCTTAGGATTCCCAGCATCACAAGAAAAAAAGTCATGGGCTGAAGTGATGAATCGGTGGATAGGAGCACTGGCTGCTCTAAGAGAGGACCCAGATTTACTCCTAGCACCCACCCGTATGGGTGAACTGTCCCTAACTCCACTTCCAAAGCACCCAACACCCTCTTGTCTCTGAGGATATCAGGCACAGAAGAAGTGCACACACCAACATGCAGGCAAACATACATACACAATCTTTAAAAGAAGGAGCAAGAGCAAAAATTTTAGGGAATCTTCATTGTAGATGTGAGAGTCATGGGTTATCAACATCTGGAGAATGGCAGGTAACAGATGGGGACAAAGTGGTCCAAGTGAATGGCTCTTCAGGGCCATCCATCAAATGACAGAACAGATCCTGATTCCTGCTGACCAGTCACAGGGAACCAGAAGGCTTCCACAGATCGCCTGTTTCTTGAGGGTCTATGTAGCCCTGAATGGGCTTACCTAAACCTTCCTGCCTCGGCCTTGAAAGTGCAGGTACTGGAGAGATGGCCATGCCTAGCTTCCCACATGCAGGCTTCCTCTTACAGGGAAAGCAAGCCTAAATTTTTTTTTTTGCGGGGGTGGGGGGTTTGAGATAGGGTTTCTCTGTGTAGCCTTGGCTGTCCTGTCCTGGAACTCCCTTTGTAAACCAAGCTGGCCTTGAATTTAAGAGATCCACCTGCCTCTGCCTCCTGAGTGCTGGGATTAAAGGCGTTGCTCCACCACCTCCCAGCTGCAAACCTCCATTTAAAGAAAAGAAACTTGGGGGTTTTGGAGTGTCATCCTGAGTTAGCAAAAGGGACACAAAATAAGTACTCGGGTTGTGAAGGTTCATCAGGCATGGCAGCTGAGCTCCTTCCTAGGTGTGTGGAAGGGGCTCCAGCAGGGACAGCGACCTGGCTCAGCAGGTAGAGGTGCTTGCTGCCAGCCCTGACGATCAGTCAATCCGTAGTATCCACATGGGAGGAGAGAACTGACTCCTTCATGTCGCCCCTTGACCGCTTTATTCCCAAAATAAATGAAAATCTAACTTGTCTTTTTTTTTTTTTTAAGCACACAGGAGTTTCGAAGGTGCTGAAAATAAGGTGTGTCAGAACCAGGCACTACCTGCCAATACGCAAAGTCCCACTTTGCCCCAACCCCTTATTCATACTTGGTTGAATTTCTGTCTCTAGGAAGAGACCTCAGACCTCCCTGTACCATTGTCTGCTACTGAGCTGTACTCCAGCCCACCCCGGAAAACCTTCACTGAGCAAACTACACATTGTGGAAAACATGAAGGCTATTAGCAAACACTTTCTGTACAGTATGTAGAAACTCAGTCAAGCTAAAGTGCTACCGCCAGGCCAGGCGTGGTGGTGCAGCCTTTAATACCATCACTTGTTGATCTCAGTTCAAGGTCAGGGTTCCAGGTCAGCCAGGGGTACACAGGGAGACCCTGTCTCAAGAAACAAAGTGCTACAGCCAGTTCACTTCATAGCTGCAGAAACCTTGGCCTAAAGAACTGAGATCATATGACCAGAATTATCGTCAAAGCCAGGATTTCAAACCACTTGTGTCTGGCATCAGAGTTTAAATTGTCTGTTTCTGTTATTGCCACAATTTTTATGGGCAAACTTTCAATAAATTGTGAAATATCCATTTTTAGTATCTTCTGGCCTTAGGTGAATAAAGTCTTGCAGTCTTAGTCTGGGCACAGGTTATTAAATTTATACTTACCATGTACTTTAAAAAGATGGAGCTGTACACACATGTGATGCAGATATAAATGCAGGTAAAACATCCACAGAAAAGTTTTAAAGGCTAGAAAAATAAGCCACCAACCCATCTTTGGAGACAAAAAGGTGACAAGGATTCTGGAATTCTCAGATGAGTTCCCTGCTCCAGGAAAGGGCAGGGAAGAGAAAGGCAGGGGCTTCAGTGACAGCAGAAGCAAGAGTTGCCCTCGAGGGGATTCTTTGCTAGATATTTGTGAGAACAACGCTGCCGGACAGGAACAGGTAGCTACTCTTGCATGACAATGCTCCTTCAAAATCCATTCCTGTGGGATGGGGGAGCTAACATTTCTTTTCATTTACTCTTCAAAAGTCTCCCATGGCAAGACAGCCGTTAGTTTCATTTATAATTGGGGAAACTAAAGCTGCCTTTAGTCCCAGAGTTGGTAAGTAACAGCTGAAATCTGACGCAGCCGCTCTTCCTACGTTCGCTGTTCCTCACAGGGATACAGTGTTATCGGTGCAAGGTCTTTGATTCTTTTCCACATTGCCTTTCCCCCTTCCCTTCACAAGGGAAAGTTTCTAGACAGAAAGACCCACAGCTGGTTGCATATATTTTTGTTATAAAACCTTTAATGTTAACCTACAATACAATGTAAACCTTTATGAAAAAAATTTGAAGTACACTAGATTTCTTCAGGAAACTATTGTTAACTACTCAGGTGCAGTACAGGATGGGGCACTGCATCTTTTGTGGACAGATTTTCTGTTGCTGTGTTCTCAAGTCAAACCCTCCCCCCAGTCAAACAGAAAACCCACCTAGCTGTAAGGTGGAGGTCCCTGTTCAGCACCAGGCGACACCCTAATTTTGTGTTCTTGGGGCTACTTCTCAGTTTCTGAAACTCCTTTGTTAGCCTTGGCACCATTAGCAATATTCATAATAGCTGATCAGTTGGAAATTCTATTTTTTTTTAATAGACAAGAATTCTCCTGCCATCTCTTTTTCTACTATCTCGGTGGAAGCAAGAAGAAAAAGCAAAAACAACCCTATTTGCTGCAGAAAACTCTGCAGAGGAAGACCAGACTGGACCCACTGGGACTGCAGAATTTCAGCTCACTCAGGCATTGCTGCTTGGTCATCCCCATGGCCATTCAGTTGTGGCTACTTCCGTGGGGAGCAAGGGGCAGAACTTGAAACAAGTGCTTCTATCATCCGTGACTTGCCCAGAAGCAACTTAAACAAAAACAAAAGCTTGCCAGTCTCTCCAAGCTCACAGGTCTTAGGGAGTCAAAGACTCTGTGGCCATGAGGGACAAAAGTCAAATTCATAGTTCATGTAGGAAGGGGGGAAATGGCACCCAGACAGCAGAACTAGGAGCAGCAAGAAAATAAACCATCTTACAGACACCACAGAGCCGGGGTGGTGGTACTCACCCACGAACCCACCGTTTGAAGAGCGGGAAGCAGGAAGGGCCCTTGCTTTATTACTCTGGCACCTAGTTAACATTTTGTAGTTTTCAAAAGGCAAGAAGCACAGAATATATACATTACAGAATGAGATTAAGGGGGGAAATTGGAGCTTCCTCAAGCAGGTGTGAGCAAGAGACTTCCACAGAACAGTTGCCTGTGTGCCAGGCAGACAGCGACTACAAACTGAGGGAGGCTGCTCCAGGTGAAAAAGTCCCTCTGCACAGCTGTCACCGAGACAGACTTCATCTGAGGACCATCCAGTCCCATCACTGCAGTTCTGGCATCAGGGGCGGTTTCTCACCCGCCATGGCAGACAGCAAGCAGAGCTAATGTTTCCTAAGGTAGAATGTAGAGCCCTCTCCTCTGCTAAGGCCACAGGACATTCTGGGGTTTTCCAGGGACTCCACAAGCCATCCTCACCACGCCTACTCTAACAGTGGAAGCCGCAGCTGCAGCAACAGTACATTGCTCTCAGAGAGGCGTGGCTTTAGTTAGGAGGGGCTTCTGGAGGTGGCAACACAAGCCACGCTTTCCCTTGACTGGAATGCCTTGCCTCGTGGTATATAACGACCACAGTGACTCCACAGGACTGCAGTGTGTCAGTTTGTTACCAGTGTAGCTAGCCCGCACTTAGGAATCCTTGTCAGTGCACACTGGCGTGTTAATGCACGGCTTCACTATGTACACACTATCATAAACTAAACCACAGAGGAGACGTTTAGAAGGGGAAAAAGCTCCTGTTGCTTCACCATGGCAAAGGAGGAAGGCTAAGAGCTGCCTCTGATAAGCGGCCTCATCAGAAAGTGAATGTGCCCTTCTTCCCACAGCTCATGCAGGCTGCGAGTCCCATTTCCCCTGTGGAGACAGGGTTTCACTTTGTAGCTCTGGCTGGCCTGAAACTCAGAGATCCGCTTGCCTCTGTCTCCCAGAGCCGCAATGTTTAAAACATCATTATCACACTTGCACTGAAACAGGGCGGGTGGACGCAGGTGGAATGGTGGCCCGAGGGTAGGTCCCACTAGTCCTTTGGAAAGGCACCAAGCTTGGTGAGTTGGGAAAACTGGGAAAGAGCAGCATGTGCAGAGGGAACCACAACCATCACCACCACCACCTGGGACAGATGCCAAGGAAGAGCTGTAGTTCTGTGTAAAGGTGAACACACACCCTACACACAGGTATAAACTGTACACACACAGCCTCTGTGGGCCACAAACCCAGAATTCCTCTCATTGCTCCAAACACGATACACAAGTGGCAGAACTGTACTAAAACAAATGACCTCTCTGGGAACATGAGAGGAGCAAGGGCAGAAATAAGCGCAAGGTAGCCCAGGGCACCTTTATTACACTACCTTGGGCTAAGAAACCCAGGGTATTGGCTCTTTACCAAATAAATTTAAGGAAAAAAAATACACCTAAGTCAGCCTCATTCCTTTGGTCATTATCATTACAAAACAAACAGAAACAGAGTTATTCGTAAACTGTGGGCAGTCTGTTCCATCCACGCTTCCCCTCGTCCTCAGGAGATGCTGCTGTAGCTGGTTGGTGGAGGTTTCCATCTGTGTATTCTATAAAAGCAAGAATGAATGAGAGACCGTGGGAATGTCTCCTTCCCCACTCGGGACAATGGATGGGTTGAGGGAGAAGTCTCTTCTCTGGAAAGTGTGTGGTGAGGCTGCGGGAAGGCGAGTCTGCCGAGCAGGCATGTTCACTGCTGACCTTGCACACGCACAAAGGTTGCGACTCTTGCAGGCAGCATGGTTTCTGATCCTTCCTTAGGATGCAGCAGTTTTCTTAAAAAAAATATTGTATTATAATAATAATAATATGAATTTATCTCTTGTTCTCTTTGTTTTTCCATTTCTTTTAGGGATTGGGGTGGGAGGGAGGAGGCAGAAAAGTGTCATTCGTCTGTCAGGTCCTGAACAAAGAGAACTTCTGTGTGGCCAAGTCCTGCCTCCTGCAGTGTGGGAGGGGTGGGCCATTCCTCTGAAGGGACACACGGCAGGACCCGTCTTGGGAAATTGGCTTCAATCTGAAACTTTTCAGGGCTTTCCTTCAAGGAGAATAAGAAGTCATGGATGACCTGCAGATGTCACACAGGAAACAATGCAGTGAGAAGACACAACATCAAGTCACAGGTCCCCAACCTTCCCAGGATGACCCAGCACACAGCACAATGGGATTCTCCTGCAAGTAGGTTTAGTTCCCTAGAAAACATGTGGTAGCTCTTTTTAAGAATTCACCAGGCGGGGCTGGAGAGATGGCTCAGCAGTTAGGAGCACTGATTGCTCTTCCAGAGGACCAGGGTTCAATTCCTAGCACCCACATGGCAGTTCACAGCTGTCTGAGAGTCCAGTCGCAAGGGAATCTAACACCTTCACACCAATGTACATAAAATAAAGTTAAATAAATCATTAAAAAAAAAATAAAAAGAACTCACCAGGCCAGACGGTGGTGGTGCACACCTAAAGGTCCAGAGGCAGAGGCGGGCAGATCTGGGTGAGTTTGTAGCTAGCCTGGTCTACAACAGCTAGTTTCAGGACAGTTAGAGCTATACAGAGAAAACCTGTCTTGAAAAACCAAAGAGAGAGAGAGAGAGAGAGAGAGAGAGAGAGAGAGAAAGAAAGGCAAAATTCATCCAGTAATTCTATATATAGGTGGCTGTATCTACAAACGCTGTATTGTTACTATTTTATTATCTAGATGTTCATTAATTTTATATCTATATTATTTATTATATATCATTATGTTTTGTATTATATATTTATATTATGTTATTTATTTATTTTATTTATATATTAATTACTATTACTTTATTCATTATTTTATTATGTTATTATTTGGGCCCCACTCAAACTGCTTTTCTTTTTCTTGGTAAACTGGTCTATGGTGGAATTGTATCGCATATTTCAATCCTGTCCCTTGACTCTCCTTTAGCCTGGAAGTAACTCTGTTACTCTGTGGAGTTCAGAGTCAGACATCTCTGCAGAATGTTAAGCAGATAAAGGGCATACTCAGGGCACCCATTTGGGCAGGGCACACCTTCCCTTTCTTCTATTATTTATGACACTCAATTCTGATCATGTGATTTAGGAGGTGCCTGCCTGGTACTGCCTCTGTAGGTATTCTCTAACTGGTAGGGCTTCACATGGAAATACTCTGAAAATGCCAAAGCATGTGGTTTTTCAGTCTTTTAAATGTATTTATATTAATGCAGGTTCCTCACTTCATATTTTAGCAAAAAAACAGTGAGAATGGGCTGAGTAGCAGCTGGGTCTCCATGTTTGAAAGGGAGTCAAATATATATTTTTTTAATTTAATTTATTTTTTTTCTTTAATCACTTTTTTTTCTTAAATGTGCATTGGTGTTTGACCTGCCTGTCTGTGTGAGAGAAATCGTATCCACTGGAACTTGTGTTATAAACAGTTGCAAGCTGCCTTGTGAGTGCTGCAAATTGAACCCGGGTCCTCTGGAAGAGCAGTCAGTGCTCTCAAACACTGACTCATCTCTCGAGAAACCAGTCAACTGCTTAAAAAAATAAAAAATAAAAAAAATAAAATCTATTTTTAAAATTATGTGTATCTATGGCTGTCAGGGGGAGGGGTGGGATATTGGATGGGTATGTGCACATGAAAGCAAGGCCCGTGGAGGTCGAGAGCTTGAGTTACAGGTGGTTGTGAACCACTTCAAGTGGGTGCTGAGAACCAAACTCAGGTCCTCTGAATGAGAAGCAAGTGCTTATAATAACTGAGCAGCCCCAGCTGCTTTGTGACCACCCATAGAATCTAAAGATGACTTTCCCTTGTGGTCAGTCTTTTTATTTCTTCATGATAGGGTCTCATTGTGTTGGGACTGGCCTACAATTCACCATGTAGACCATGTAGATCTCAAACTCATAGAGATCGGCCTGCTTCTGGGAGGCACATTTGTGTTACCTAATTAAAAATTCTAGGGATGGAGAGATGGCTTAGTGGTTAAAAGAACTGGCTGCTTCTGAGGTCTTGAGTTCAATTCCCAGCACCCACATGGTGGCTCACAACTATCTATGACATGTAATTCTCATGGAATTTGATGTCCTCTTCTGATGTGTAGATGTACATGCAGATAAAACATACATTAATCCCAGCATTGGGAAGGCAGATGTAGGCTGATTTCTTAGTTCAAGGTCAGTCTAGTCTATAAAGTGAGTTCCAGGACAGCCAAGCCTACAGAGACACCCTGTCTTGAAAAATCAAAACAAACACATGTATACATAAAATACATAAATCTTATTTTAAAATAAAATCCAGGTCTGGAGTTGTGCTCAATGTTGGAATGCCTGCTAGCATATAGGAGACCCTTAACTCTATCCCCAGCACTGAAAAAACAAACCACCCCTCAAAAAAAAAAAAAAAAAAAATCAGAGGTGTGAACACTCTCCTCTCAATATAAATGAACACATAAATGGAGCTATTTCTTCTCTCCCAAGCCACCACCTCATTTTCATTCTATTCTAGTCCTTTGAGTCTTATTTTCTGTACTAACCACTCGTGTGTCTAGTTCCAATTACAATGTATTTTCAGTTTAAAGTTAAGGGGTGGAGAGGCGCCGTATCTAAGGGCTCAGCAGGTAAAGATCCTTTTTCCCAAGCCAGAAGATTCCATTCCAAGAACCTACACAGAGGAAGGGGATTGGACTCCCATAATGTGTCCTTTGATCTCCACCTGCACACCATGACACACATGCAACAGACACACATCTACAGCCTAAAACTGCATATATCATCTGGCTTAGGCGATCCTTACTGTTAGAGACTGTGAAAAATGGAACCGTCTCTCTACTCTGGTATCATTGGGTAACTTGAAAATGATCTTGACACTTTCAGGGTCATCTGGGGATGGCTCAGGAGGCAGGCATTCCAACTTTCTTTCCTTTTCCTCCTGTAAGTTCTAGAGAAACACAAAACAAAGATAAGGTAAGGATATGGCTTAAGTAGGGAAACAAGAAACCAGGAATACAATGGCTATGTAGGTTTACTGTGCATAAGGAAGAAAATCTAATGAACAATAAATGTAGGGAACTCTCCCAGGGGCTGGCAGGAGAGCTCAGCAGATAAAGGTGTGTGGGCCCTGAAGGTACGAGCCTAAAAAAAGAGACCAAGTTCCATCCTCAGAAACTGTGTTATGAGTGGAAGAAGAGAATGACTCTCCAAAGTTGTCTTTTGACCTTCAAAGAAGCACTGTGGCACTGTGTGCCAGCACTCACACATAACATATACACACCCAGACAAAATCTCATTGACTGACTGACTGACTGACTGAAGCAGGTTCTCATTATGTAGCCTTGTCTGGCTTCAAACTGACAGAGATCCAACTGCTTCTGGTTTCCAAGTGATGGAATTGAAGGCGTGTACCATTACACTTGTGGATAAAATCATAAAAACAACCACTCCCCCTCCCCACAAAACCAACTTGGCAAGAAATGTGGAACGTTACTGTGCTCCCTGTATTGCTGACTGTGTCTATGCATTTCAGTATTTGGAGGGAAAAGGATCCTGGCTGTAAGCAAACGGCAATACACACTAAAACAACACCGTGAACGAAATGCCAGTCTGCTAACACTGATATCGAGAACAAGTAAGGTGGGAAACAATTACCCATAATGCCAACTCAACTCTGCCTTCACACACAAAGCCATGGGCGACAAAGTCTGGGCATGCTGGGAATGACAAGGAACAGAGACATGGCTCACCTGTCGCCTTCTCTCCTCTGCCAGCTTCTGCTGCTGCACCTCCTCCTCCTTTCGGCGTTTTCTCTCTCGTTCCTCTCTCTTTTTCCTTTCTTTCTCCTGGTCTGCCCTGAGAGAAGCCAGGTAGGCTTCATCTTGTTGTTGTCTCAGCACTTGGGTCTGGTTCCTTTCTTCCCTACGGACAGATCAAAAACACACCAAACACAACCCTAATTTCACAACTGTTTTCCTAACATGTCTTCCTCCTCCCTTACTCCTGTCTTCCTAGGTATAGAACCCAGGGCCCTCCGAGTGCTAGGCAAGCACAGTTCTTGACTCTGTTTCTCCCACTTCCCTTGAAGGCTAGCTGCTAGCTGGCGATCCTCCTGCTTCAGCTTTTCAAGTACTGAGATTAGAGACATGCCTACCATGTTTTTATTTAATTAAAAAATTGTTTTTTTCTGAGACAGTGTTTTGGTTGCTACTATTTATTTACTTGTCAATTTGACTCAAGTTGGAGTTACCTGAGAAGAGGAAAACACAGCTGAGAGAATGCCTAGCTTATAGGAACTCAGGAGGCAGAGGCAGGAAGATCTCTGTGAGTTTGAAGCAAGTGCCAGGACTCCACAAAGAAACCCTGTCTCAAAAAAAAGTAGGTGTGAGAGAGAGAGATTGTACACACAGGTGCCCTTGAAGGAGTTTGATCTGCATGTAGAGCTGCATGAGCTGACCGTTTTAAGTGCTAGGAATTGAAATTGGGTACTCTGTGAAACAAATACATGTTCTTAACCGCTAAGCCATCTCTCAGCCAGTCCCTACTTTATTTCTCCTTCCTCTTTCTGTTTATTTTTCAAGACAGGGTTTCTCTGTGTAGCTCTGGCTGTGCTGTAACTTTCTCCTTGAACTCACAAAGACCTGCCTGCCTCTGTCTCTCCCGCCTCCCCCGCCCCCAGGGTTTCTCTGTGGCTTTAGAGCCTGTCCTGGAACTAGCTCTTGTAGACCAGGCTAGCCTCGAACTCACAGAGATCCGCCTGCCTCTGCCTCCCGAATGCTGGGATTAAAGGTGTGTGCCGCCACCGCCCAGCAATTGTTTATATCTTTATCACGTTCCTGCAATGAAGTCTGCGCTAGATCCTGGAAAGTCACAATTTAAACAACCTCTCTAGAGTTCAAACAAGTGAAGCTGAGTGTTTCCCCGAGTTTGCTGAACTGCGTGAGTAAACGAATCAACGTGCATGCTGTGGGAGCCTTGAGAGATGGTTCTTAAAATACATGCGAAAAGGCAGGAGTCGCAAATGGGCTCTAAAGTGAAAAAGGGGCCTTGGAACTTGTGCTCTCAACAAGAGGGTCAGAAGTGAACTGATTAAGCAGACACCTAGCTGTAGGTAGCTGCTGTCTGGTGTGTTGGCGAAACCACTTACACATAGGGTACCAGAAGTGATCTGTTTTGAGGATGGCCAGATAAGCAGACCCTTTGTTTGTTTTCTATTGTAAGACAGAGGTGTGGACAGGTGTCTACAAAATTAAAAGTACTCTAGAACTATGAGTGTTTTCAATTTCTTTGACTTCCCCATTACAAATTTTCTATAATTACTGTACAAAATTCAAGTAATGGGGGAGAAGCTATAACCAGTCCACCTTTTCACATTAAATCCTTTCTATAATGTTCAGCCTTCTAAACTATTCTTCAACATGAAGCAAAAGCTTAGAGTGCGTAAGACAAGGGAAAGAGGTTTGTGGAGCCCAGGTCAGTCCTTCAAACACAACATCTGTCTCTTTTTAGAAAGGAACTCCATGGTACCTTTCTAGGCGTTCTGACACCAGGTAAGTTTGGTTTGCATCCATAATAAATGTCAGTTGGTTGATGAGGTCATCAGGTTGAATGAGGCCTTCCAGCCGTCCCACCACAGTCATACGGCGATCTTTCAACATAATCATAGCCAGGAAAGGGTAGGTATTCTCTCGTAAAGCCTGTGAAACTGACAGAAAGATCCAAGGGTAAGACGTAGGGATGAAACAGATCAACTGCAGACTTTGCATACTGGCAGAATGCCTTAATTTGGCTGGAGAAAAGATGGGTGTCATTTCTTCTCTGTCTAATGTTTTTCCTACTAGTTTCTTTTTAAAATTTTTGTAACTGCTAAAAAACACTTAAAGATTTATTTCTATTTTATGTAAAGTAGTGTTTTGTCTCCATAGATTAAAGGTGTGCACCACCATCAACCAGCTATTTCTACACACACATGTGCTGTCTTTTTGTCCTCATCTAATTTCTTCCTTATCTCATTTCCCTATTCTTTTTTTCTCCCCTTACAAGGCCAGTTTTTCTCCTCCAATAGAGTAAAGAACCAAGGATGTACTATATAATGCAGCTGAATCTCTGTCCCAATGTTAGGAAAGAAGACATTTTATAACTTTCTACAACAGTATCCTTTGTGCCATTTATCTACGAGTCCCACAGAGCCAGAGTAGAATGGCAAAACACAAGCTACAGAACATGCCAATGTCCACAGAACATTTAGGAGTAAAGATTAAGAATCAAGATGCAAGACCAGGTGGTGATGGCACAAAATTCCAGCACTTGGGAAGCAGAGGCAGGTTCAAAGCCTGAGTCTGAGTTCAAAGCCAGTCTGGTTTACAGAGTGAATTTCAAAACTGTTACCCAGAGAAACCCTGTCTCAAAAGCCAATAAACAAACAAACAAATAAGAGGGAAAAGCACTAAGATGCAGGAGAAGCAGCTGCAGCATATTTGAACACTAGTCACAATGCCTAGGTATTAGCACACAGTAGCTGCCGAAGGGAGAAAGCTACAAAAGGACTGAGCTCTTTGTCTCTTCTGATGATTTCTATTTGGTTTTGTTTGTTTGTTTGTTTTTTGAGACAAGATTTCTCTGTGTAACAATCCTGACTGTCTTGGAACTCACTCTATAGACTAGGCTGGCCTTAAATTCACAGAGATCCTGTGTCTCTGTCTCTTGATTGCTGGGATTAAAAGCGTGCACCAAAAGCCAGGTGGCGCAGGCATTTAATCCCAGCACTTGGGAGGCAGAGGCAGGAGGATCTCTGTGAGTTCAAGGCCAACCTGGTCTATAAGAGCTAGTTCCAGGACAGGCTCCAAAGCTAGAGAAACCCTGTCTTGAAAAGCAAAAAACAAAAAAAACCAAAAAAGCGTGCACCACCACAGATGGCTGGCTTTCTTCTGACGATATTTAAGAAGTTACTTATTTTTATTAAGAATTACTGGCAGAAAGAGCTGAACTGCCTGCATCCATGGTCAGCACTCCAGCACTAAACAACAGACTCAAGAGTCTGCTGAAACCACAAAGAAGATAAATGCGCAGTAAAAGGCCCATTGTGATAAGAGGTAAGTTGCTGGGCAGGACTGACTTAAAATGAAAGTCTCTGATGAAAGAATGGGCCTTAAAGTCTGTTAATCCTGATCATGCTTCAGAATGTGCTAACTATGTTTTTGGAACTGTCTTATGTTAGTCTCTGAGATTGTTTCATATAATCAAAGAAACAATACAACCTTCATCTCTTAGGACTACTGACAAAATTAAAATATAGATAAGAACTACAACTAGGATTGTGTCTACCACAGAACAAACATCCAAGAAATGGCATGGCACATTTTTCCAGACATCCCCCAGGGTATTCTGATACTGTCAATGAGGCAAAGAAACACCACTTACCCCTGTACCCCTCAGGTTTGTTTGTAGAACAAGCCCAAAAAAGCATCCTGCTGTTTATTAGTGAGACAACTTCAGGTGCACAGAGTGTGTTGCTATGGAACAGGATGAAAACAACATAAGAACATCTCACCAACTACAAAGTGTCAGAAAAAAAAGTCAGAAAAGAAAGAAAATAATCCATCTACTTACCGGCAGAACTCATCGGAGTCCTGGTGATCATCTCCATGAAGATAAACCAAAAGAAACCGAAGTTCCCGCTTGGCATCGTTAAGTGCCTGCGACAGACAGAAGATCACCACTCACTATTAAGATTTTGACTTTTATTTAGGTTAAAGGTCCAAATGGATATAACTATGTATTAATCAACAATGGCAACCAGAAAGCTGGGGAGGAAAATGGGGGGAAAAGAAAAGCAAGAGATTGAGTACTTCTCAGGCTTCTACCTTTACACCCACCCCTGGCATTTTCTCCCTATAAAAAGTCCAAGCCAACAAATTTTAATGAAAAAGGTTTTAGTGTTGTTAGAATTTGCACTGCACCAGGCACAAGAGAGTAGACAAGGCAACACAGACGAGTGAGAAAGTCAGCTGTTTTGGGGCTTAAAGATAAAAACAGGAGACTGTGACTATGTAAAAGCTACTTTGCAGCTATAAAGTTCTTGTTAATTAAAAAAAAAAACAGCTGCAAAAATCAGTTGGATCCAATAGGAATGCAAGCAAGAACGAAGGACCAGGGCACTAAAGGCATTCGAGAGAGTGCAGGGTTTAGAAGATCTAAGACAAAGCCAGTGTCCACGAATCTTGTGCCATACATGGTATACACTTGAGTCCTTCCACTCCAATCTCCATTTTCTGAAGGGCTGATCGTGGTCTACCTCAAGATCATATAAAGAAGCACTTCTCCCCCTCATCCCTAAGCCTGTACAGCAGGTATGTAATGTTTATTGAGTGGGACAGCAGCAGCCACCAAGAAGACAAACTGAGTGGGGAGAAAAGCAGAAAAAAAGTGAACCCCCCCTTTATCCTGGTAAGAATCAGAAATCCTGGACACTACTGAATAGTGTGAACTTTGAACTATGTCCATGGTGTTTATTATTTTTCTCTGACAAAATATATGCTCCTATCACCCAGTTTTCCTCCCTGAAAGGTCTCTGTGGCTTAGTTTGAATGAAATGAGCCACTTTAAGCCCATGGTCTAAATTCTATTCAATTCTATAAAGGATCGAAACAAATTCAGGTTTTTCCTTCAAGCTGTATACGGTCTAATAACAGAGCAAAGACGTGAACACAAACCACTATAAGGAGGAATGTAGAAGTGCTGCAAATTTCAAAGTAGAGGGATGGAAAACAAAGGGAAGGTCAGTACTTTAAAAAGCAAGGTAGGGCAAGACAGGGACAATGGAATGGTTAGGAAAGGAAGGGCTGGTCTGAAGTGGGCAGGATCCATTAGTCACGGTATTAGAAGACACTCCAGGTGACAGAAACAATATGCGAGGCACTGAGGCAGGGAAGTGTTCAGGGAAGGGTGTGGTTGGAACCCAGGGCATGGGGAAACAAGTCTATGCAAAAAAGACATCAAAAAGACTGGGATTAGATCAAGGAGGGCCTAGATAAAAGGTTTGGTCCCATCCTTTTAAAAAAATTTCTCCTATAATCAATGAAGAGCTATAGCTATGTAAGTCTTTTGATATCAGAGCAACATGATCAGAGCTACACTACACTTTCCTTTGAGAACAGAATCATAGTGTTAGGTTGGCATCTATTTAGTTTGTGGCACTGACCTGGCTGTACGTTCCCTGGTAGAAGACAGGGTGTGCCCTCCCATATTTCTCTTCAAAAGAGTGCATAAATGAAACAATGTCCCCAACAGGGTCAGTGACCCGGCTGCGAGGGTCAGGCCGTATAAAACGAAGAGCAAACCTGGGGAGGAAGGAATAAATATCACATAAATTGGCTTCCTGTAGTGCATATGGAGTGGGCCAGTTTGTACAGACGTTTATCACAGAGCCAGAGCCGTGGTAGCAAAGGGACGTGAATTGTCAGTGAGTGGGCCATCAGACCTGAGGGCAGACCTGGCTCACAAGCCACAAAGCTGTCAAGTGTTCCACTAACTGCTCAAGAAGAATGCACACACTAGGACTATAACATTCCAACACTGGTTTAACCCACTGTGAGTGTTTTCTGCAGAAGGGCTGAGTAAGGAAGATCACAACCCTTGATACTGTCTAACACAGCAGCCACTATTTATGGCTATTATATATTTAAATACATTAAATTAAATATAGGTAAACTCAGTGCCTCAGTTACACCTCCATGTTTCAAGTGCTCAACAGACATATGTGGTTAGTGATTTCCATACTCAACAACAGAGACAGAGAAGGTGTCTTAATCAAAAAAAGCGCACGGGACAAACATTGCTCTAAAGTAGACGCCTCTTTCTGCATCTTCCTACTTGCAGGTTCCTCTCCTTTATGTTCTTCTGGGATTCTGATTTTCTTAACTTACACTCTCGAGTTATCAATAGGGACTTCAAATCTAAGCTTAGTCACAACTTATTTGTTCTTCAAAGGAGCAGGTAAATTTGTTTGATGTGTCTGCACTAATGACATCCATGGAAGGAGTCATAAAACTGACCCACATGTGGCACTTTAGATTCAGGGATGCATTACCTAATGGGCCTATACATCTATTCCTAAAAAGCCTATGCTATCATACTATACCTTACCCTTTCTTTATGCTTTGGGTTCCCATAGAAGGTAGTAGGGTGGAGGATGAAGTGGTACATTTCACATTAAGTTGCCTGATGACACCATTGCATTAAAATTAGTAAAAACATGCCATGCATATTTTTCCAGGGAAAGCAAACAATATTCATTTACTTAAATTTTTAGCAAGGGAAAGATGACTACACTCTTTGCCTATTCTTAATAATTTAACAAATTCTCCATAATTTTTCCTGAGTCATCAAACCAAATTCATTAACATAAACATTTCAAGAAAATTAAAGACATAAAATGTAATTACTTCTATATATAAAGAAAAATTATCAGTGCTTCAGAAGGCTGGTAGTTTGACTGTTTTTCTGGAAAGATTATTTTGGGTTATCTCTTTTCAAGTGTCCAAATTCTAGGAAGGGTAAAGGCTTTAAGTCTACTGTTTCTCAGCCGGGTGGTGGTGGTGCACGCCTTTAATCCCAGCACTCGGAGGCAGAGATAGGTGGATCTTTGTGAGTTCGAGGCCTGCCTGGTCTATAAAGAGCTAGTTCCAGGACAGGCTCCAAAGCTACAAAGAAGTCCCGTCTCAAAGAAACAAAAAGAAAGGAAGAAATATTGTCCCGAAAAAGTCTACTGTTTCTCAATACAATGTATTTCCACAGCTAATATATTTAGACATTTGTCTCAACTCAGTTTTCACTGATTTTTATCATTCCACATGCCCATTCCTGAATAAAACAAGAGATGAGAAAGCTACAAAGAAGGCAAGTCACGAAGTTTGCATCAGCCGGGTGGTGGCACAAGTCTTTAATCCCAGCACTCAGGAGGCAGAGGCAGGCGGGTCTCTGAGTTCAAGGCCAGCCTGGTCTACAGGGAGAGTTCTGGGACAGGGCAACACAGAGGGGCCAAAAAAATAAAAATAAGAAAAAAAAACTTTGCTATAGAAAGGATCTCATTAAATGAGAGACCAAGTGGAAACTATTATTCATTCCCTGAACTTCTGCAGTGGCTAGGTCCTTATTTCCAGCCTCTGCTACTCAGAACAGAGCAAAAGCCACTGAATTTGGAAAGAGGCACTTTGTATACATTGTATTTCCAGCTCCATTTGCTGGCCTAGATGTCATGCTCATTCATTCATACTCCCCCCACCCCTTCCCAAACTCAAAATCCTCTTGCCTCATTTTCAACAGGATTATAGGTACATGCTACCGCGCCCAGCCTCCAGTGAACATTTGGTCTCACAAAGTCTGGGCATAGCTCTAGACCATATTCTGTGCTAAGCTTGATCTGCCAAAAGTCAGGTCACACTCAACATTTCCTAGCTCTGGACACACTATGGTTTCCAATGCTAAGTCCTTTGAATGGTACACAAAGAAAGCTTGATAGTGAAGGTATGAAACAAACTGGGTGTATACACGAAAGGGTGCCAGTGTTAACAACCTAAGCATTGCCAACAGGGCAGAGGGAAATGTACAAAACACTGCCTAGGAAGATGCCAACAACCTATGGCAAAGTGGATAGAAAACCTTCTGGGGTTGTGAACCGTCAGGTGGAGGAGAGGTGGTTTAGGGTAAAAGTTCCTGAGTATGAAGTTAGGAGGTAGATAATGGTGGTTAGAAAGGAAAGGGCATGGTGATTAACTCAGGAATGTAGCGGTGACAAACATGGTGAGGGGAGGGGAAAGACCAATAAACACAGGCAGATTGATTTGATTCTTACAAACAATAGCCAGGACTAATTTAAAGTCATTTATAATACCTTCCACCATGCAACAATTTAAAACACTTTTTTTACTATAGAAAAAGAGTGTAGGAAGAATATTTAATTCGATAACAAACTGGCTAGTCAAAAATGATTGAGCATCAAGCTTACTCTAGTCTAAGTGTCAGCTTCAAAGCCTATAGACTGTGGCTAGTAGCATATAAACACAGAGGTACATACCTAAATATATCAAGTATCGTGTAATAGGTAAACCGGAATGGAAGCATTATCAAGTAATAACCCCATCCAAGCAGCCCCTGAAATTCCAAAAACAAAGTTAGAGACTCCATTCTCTTAATGTTCAATACTTCAGAAAATGGCTAGTTCATACTTCCATGCCCCTCACCCCACTATGGCGACCCTCTCTCAATAACACAGTGTCCTCTTCCTGGCCATCTCATCCTTAAGTGCTACTGCTTTTGGTACTATTTCACCTAAGACAATTGTTTTTTTCCACAGAATTTCTGTCTTTAATCTCCATAACATTCTCCAGCCTTACTTACACTTACTGTCAACTTCAAGTTTCTCCCCACACAACAAATATTCATTCTTTCCATTTTATATTTAAACATCAATATATGGCACACAGAAAAATCAAGAGAGATAATTACTTTGGGCATTTGTATACAACAGAAAGTCTATTACCACAAGGGCAAATCCTCATAGCTACTAATCTTTGTAATAACACTGATCTTATCTTATTGCTGTTTACACAGGCAGGGCTTACTGTCAGACTGTGTTAACATGTCCTGTGTAATCTTCGGAGTGAGATATAAAACTGAACAGGGATCAGGGTCTCAATCACAAGGTGGGGCCAGTTCAAGCTGAGGAAACATGGGGTTTATAGAGAACTACTCCTTGAGTTATGTATTGTTCTAGAAAATCTGGAAGGGTTTTTGTTGCTGTTTTGGGTTTTTTGTTTGTTTGTTTGTTTTGGGACAGGGTGTCTCTATGTAGTCCTGGCTATCCCAGAACTCACTATGTAGCCCAGGCTGGCCTGCTTCGTATTTCAAGTGGGTACCTTTACCTAGGAGGTCTGAGGACTCATCTAATTTAGTCTTCCCTTTATCTATGGTTTTGTTTTCTGTAGTTTCAGTTACCCTCAAACAATCGGGGTCTGAAAATATTAAATGGAAAATTCAAAAACTAAATACTTTGTAAGTTTTAAACTGCACATTGAGCAGTGAGGTAACAGTGCAAGTGCGCCACGCTGTCCAGTCCCCTCGGGAAGTCTCTTCACCATGTTCTACACATGATACCTGCCTATCAGTGTCTTAGGAGCCACCCTGGTTAGATGTGTCTGGGTGTTACTTGTTTTCAAGTTATCTTTATTTTACTTAAAAAGTGGCCTCTGCTAGGCACGGTGGTGCACGCTTTAAATGCCTGCACTGAAGAGGCAGAGGCAGGTGGATTTTTGTGAGTATGAGGCAATCTGGTGTACACAGCAAGGGCAGGTAGGGCTATATAGCAAGACCCTGCCTCAAAATGACAAAATGGCCCCCAAGTGATGATGCTGGAACTAATACGGCAAAGGGAGCCGTGAAGCGATCGGCTTCAGTGAAAAGGTAAGTGAGACTGAAGCCAAGGAACCCTATGGTGCAGTTGCTAAGATCTACAATAACAACGAGTCTTTAATTCATAAAACTGTGAAAGAAGAGAAGTCTTTGTTGGTTTTGCTGCTGTACCTTAAACAGCAAATGCTTGACGAAGATGGAAAAAGCATGAAATAATCAGGCTCAGAAGTACTGGGAGTTTGGGGACTCTACTGAAGACTTTGCAAGGGTATCCTCTATGGAAAAGGTGTAAATTAAACTTCACACTTATCTGGAAACATAGTTGTACTACGTTGCCCAGGCTAGCCTCAACGCTTGTGATCCTCCTGCCTCAGTAATCTTTTTTGTGTGCTGAGGACTTGTGGAGGCTGGAAGACAGCACTGGATACCCTGGGACTGGAGCTACAGACAGTTGTGAGTTACCATGTGGGTGAAGGAATCCAATCTAAGTCCTCTGGAAGAGTAGCCAACTGCTCTTGACTGCTGAACCATCTCAGTAGTGCAGTATTTTTTTCCCTCTGAGACAATGTCTCATAAATAGAGCTAGGCAGTCCTTGAACTAGAGATCATACTATCTCAGCCTCCCAAGGGCTAGAATTACAGGCATGCAGCACCACCTAAAGTCATTTTTGAAACATTAAGTACTCCATACACACATACAAAAGTATAATAATGGAGTAATATTAATTGCTCTAAGATTAAAGTGTTTAAAAAGGTTTATTGTTTTTGTTTTGCTCTTGTTTTTTTAATTCTAAATGCATGTTCAAGGGGGTGACTGTCATCACTGAAGGACAAGAAGGATAAGCTCCAGAAAGTTCTTCAGAGTTCATGATCAGTTATGTATCTAATTCCCTTAACAGATCATGAGAAATTGAACTGTAAATAGGAAAGCTAAGATGAAAGGATTCAGAGTTTGATGATAACCTGGACTACATAGTGAGATCCTGCCTCAAAAAGAAAGTGAGGCAGAGCAGGGGTGGTGCACACCTTTAATCCCAGCACTCAAGAAGCAGAGACAGGTGGATCTTTGTGAGTTTGAGGTCAGCCTGGTCCACAGCGTGAGTTCTAGGACAGGCTCCAAAGCTACAGAGAAACCCTATCTCGAAATGAGACAAAACAAAAAAACACCAAAAAGAAAGAAAAGAAGGAAGGGAGGGAGGGAGGGATGAAGGAAGAAGGGAGGGAAGAAGGAAGGAGAAAAGAAGGAAGGAAGAAGGAAGGGAGGAAGGGAGGGAGGGAAGGAGGAATGATGGATCACAGGCAGAGGTGCCTGCTGCCAAGCCTGACGACCTGAGTTTTATCTTTGTGACCCACAGCAGAAGGAGAGAACTGACTCTGCAAGCTGTCCTCTGACCTTCACATACACAAAACAAATAAAATGCAACAAACCAATGTTTATTTAAAAAAAAAAAGGAAGTGGGGGAGGCAGAGGCAGTGAAGGAAAGGAAGGCAGGGAAAGAATGAAAGAGGGGAGGGAATGAATGGAAAGGGACCCGCTGTGCGATGTCTTGCCCTATTCTGTGAATGTATGTTGCTCTCATTGGTTGATAAATAAAGCTGCTTTGGCCTATGGCAAAGCAGGACAGAACCAGGCAGAAAATCCAAGCAAAGATACAGAATAGGCCAGTCAGCCGCTAAGGAAAAAAGACATAGAAAATGAGGTAATGCCTCATTCTCATGGCAATACTTAGATTAATAGAAATGGATTAATTTAAATGTAAGAGCTAGCTAGTAATAAACCTGAGCCATTGGCCAAATGTTTATAATTATTATTAAGCCTCTGGGTGATTACTTGGAAATGGCTGCTGGATGGGGCAGGACAGAGAAAAACCTCTAGTAGAGATTAGGGAAGGGGGAACTGAATAGTAAATGAGTTTCTTTCTCTCTACACATCTTAGTGGCGGTCAACTAGAGCATTTTGAAACAACCAAGAGACCTAAGTGAACCACCTCTTTGCTACCAGTCCTTCAGGATCAATTTCAAAACAATGGCACAGAATTACCAAGGATTCTAAGCACTTCCTTAAAAGTAGCTGAAGTCAAGTAAACTCGAGTCATAAGTTATCAGATTTTAATTTAATGGTGGGAAGTTGCTAGCTATGGTAGGTTGTTGATGTAACAATTTCAGAATGCAAAAGAAGGCCAAGGCAGGAAGAATGACCAAGGTTTGAGGCAGCCTGTCCTACATAGTGAGTTCCAATTCAGCCTAGGCTACAGTGAGCTGCCAATCAGTCTGGGTTATTTAGTGAGCTCCTGTCCACATGAGGCTATATAATTAATGATTTCTAGTAATTAATGATTTCTAGTCCAGCCTGGGCTATACTGAGTCAACAATCAGTCTGAGCCACAGAGTAAAATCATGTCTCCAAACAAAACACACACACACACACACACACACACACACACACACACACACACACAGAGGGAGAGATAAAGAGAAAGAGAGGGAGAGAGAGAGCAGGATTGAAGAGATGACTCAGTAGTCAAGAGTTCCCAACACCCACATGGTGGCTCACAATAGCCCATCTCCAGTTCCCAGGAATGCAGAGCCTCTTCAGGCTTCCATTGGCTCCTGTAGGCATGTGGGCACAGACACAGGCTCAGAAGCAGCTCTATTCAGGTTGCAGCAAACATTTCAAAAGGAAGCTACTCAAAGCAAGTAAAGAACAGAAAAATAGTTCCTATAAAAAAATCTAGAGAAACTGATGAACCCAGTAAGTCTGCCAAGGGCCCATAGCTAACAAGTTTAGACTGTCAACATTTCTTTTGCTCTATCACACAAAGATAACAAAACCAAATGGGTGAAATCATTTTAAAAAAAAGGGGGGGGATATTCTAGCTACAAAACTTGCCCTTGGTTGTGGTCTTGAGACAACATAGCTGTAGATCCTGTGATCAGCTGTATTAACCTGTAGGGGTCGGGATGGAGGTGGATTGAAAACACTTGGTACACCCTCTTGCTCATTCAGTCTGTCCTGGACTGCAGCCTGAGACGGAAAACAGAAAAGAATACAGAATGTCAGTAATGCTCAAATCCGCCCAAGAAGAAACTACTGCTTGGTGACTCAAAAAAAGGTGAACATTACATGAAGGTCACTTGATGAATACGTGCCAAGGGACCTTTATCCTGCTATGCTATGGGACAATAAGAATTCTCACATGGTGTTACAAGGCAACTTGTCTTGAAGCCACTTTACATGGCAAGCACATTATTACTATTAATATGTGTTATTCAGAATGGCCGTAATATAATGTGTTTTACCTACTATCCCAGGAAAAGCAGTACACAGAATACAGTGCAGATAGCACCTCCAGGTCTGTGCAGTGGGCAGTACTGATTGTTCGTAACTGACAGTATTGGCAAAGCATATATAGTTTGTAGTTCCACAGCCCAGAAAGAGACTAACTTACATGCTTTAGAATTTTTCTTTTAAATTCATCTATTTATTTTAAATCCTGGCTGCAGTCTCCCCTCCCCATCCGTATCTCCTACCATGACCACATTCCTTCCTCTTTGGTCTCCATCCAGGAAAGGGCGGGTCTTCCATGAATATCAATAAACATAAGCTTTAGATTATTTTTTAAAAAAAATATTTATTTATTTATTATGTATACAATATTCTGTCTGTGTGTGTGCCTGCAAGCCAGAAGCGGGCACCAGACCTCATTACAGATGGTTGTGAGCCACCATGTGGTTTCCGGGAATTGAACTCAGGACCTTTGGAAGAGCAGGCAATGCTCTTAACCACTGAGCCATCTCTCTAGCCCCAGCTTTAGATGCTTTATGTGCAAAATTGAAGGAAACTTAATGCTTGGATTTTTTTATTTTTATTTTTTTTAAAACATTTTATTTATTATGTATACAGTATTCTCAGTACTCTGTCTGCATGTATGCCTGCAGGCCAGAAGAGGGCATCAGATTTCATTACAGATGGTTGTGAGTCACCATGTGGTTGCTGGGAATTGAACTTAGGACCTTTGGAAGAGCAGGCAGTGCTCTTAACCTCTGAGCCATCTCTCCAGCCCTTTTTTATTTTTAGTAAAGAAAAGGATGCTTAAAAAAAAAAGTGAGAAAGTTTCTAAAATGGGAGGAATTTGAAAGGAGGGTCAGCTTAATCTGAAAATCTGAATATTCAGGGCTTGGGATGGAGCCCAGATGACTGAGTGTTTGCTTACAGGTATGAGGCAGAAACCATTGCTCTAATTTCAGAACTCAGGAGGTGGAGAAGGGAGATCAAAAGTTTGGGGTCATCTTGGGCTATGTAGGGAGAATGAGTCTAGCCTTGGCTAGAGATTCTGTCTCAAAAACAGAACAAAACAAAACAAAATCATCAAGAAAAAAAATCTGAATATTTAGGCTTTTTTTTAAAAAAAACAAACCTTCATTCTCTAAATTCTGTCTCTGAAAACAGTTTTCTGTCCCAGTTTTGTGACAAGTTGGCCATACACAGAGAGATACCTGGTTCCCCTTCTCAATGCTCTACTCAGACTGATGGGAGCACCCCCTTTGATACTATCAATGGGCCGGCTCCACCTAATAGTCTTAGGAGAAAATGTGACAAAGCCAGAGACCAGCTGTGTGACTTAGGGTTGGTACTTTGGATAACTGGATGTTTGTCAACTTGGAGGCTGCATTTGACCATATGGGCAGCCAATCTAATCAATTATGCCTACATCAAAAAAAACAAAAACAAAACAAAACAAAACAACCCCCAAAACCAAACCAAACCAAAAAACAAAAACAAACAAACAAACAAAAAAAACCAAAGTCGGGTAGTTGTGGCACATGCCTTTAGTCCCAGCACTTGGGAGACAGAGGCAGGTGGATCTCTGTGAGTTCGAGACCAGATTGGTCTACAAGAGCTAGTTGTGGACAAGCTCCAAAGCTAAAGATGACCTGTCTCCAAAACAAAACAAAACAAACAAAAACAAACAAACAAAATCCAAAACAAACAAATAAAAAAAAAACAAAAAACACTCAACAAAACCACAATAAAAAACCCTAAAAAACCAAAACCCAATTTGGACACTTCGCTAAGGCATGTGTCTCACACAATCACACATCTGTACAAGCAAGGTGTGTATTCTGATTTCACAGAAGACAATACACATTTCCTATGTGGGAAACCTTTGAGATTCTGTTCCAAGTCTCGTAGCTAGTATCTTATCAAAAACTATTATCAGGAGCATGGAACCGTTTCCAGTGTGTCTCTCGTGAACTATTAAGCCTGAGGGTCATTGTATACCACCTTTGAACTCACAGCTGGTGTTGAAGAAAGAGTGGTCTTTGGGAGGGCTGCGCTGTCTTCTAAACTTGAGACCTGTATTTAACCTTTTGTTTGACTAATTCCAGGCTGTCAAATCACACTCAGTGGGAAAAAAATAACCTTTCCAGTCTGGCAAAGTTGGCTCAGTGGGTATATTAATTAGCTTTTTATCAACTTGATTCAAGCTAGGGTCATCTGGGAAGAGGGAACCTCTATGGAGAAAACGCCTCCATGAGACAAGTCTGTGGTGCATTTTCTTGATCAATGATTGATATGGGTGGGCCCAACTCATCCATCCCTGAGCAGGTCATCCTTGATAATACAGGAAAGCAGGCAGAGCAAGTAATGAGGAGCAAGCCAGTGGGCAGCACCCCTTCACATCCTCTACCTCAGTTCGGCCTTGAGTTCTCAGTCCAACTTCCCTCAGTGATAGACTGTGATGTGGCACTGTAGGGCGAAGTGATATTTTTCTTCCAAATTGCTTTGTTGATGGTATTTTTATCACGGCAACCGAAACTCTAAGTAAAAGAGCTTGCTGCCAAGCTTCACTTTTCTGGGTTTGATCAACAGGATTCACGTGGGAGAAGGTAAAACAGAGTTACCTACAGAAGAAAGTCTGGAAGGACACACACTAAAGCTCTGTGCTTTTTCTAGAAAGTGTAAGAATTTTGTATTTAAACTTTTATAGACTTATTTTATTTCTGTAACTGGAAAAAGACATAGAGTACCATTGGCAAGTAAATCTTCCCAGCCACATTTAAGCTATACAAAGTAATCTCACCAAATAAGCATGAATAAAAAAAATATGAGTGTAAATTTGTAGCTCACAAAATAGTCACTCTTTGGTAAGCACATACCTGTCAACAGTGGTTACCTCTAGGAAAGAAGGAAATAGGGAACAAGATAGGACATGCAAGCAACTCAAACTGTTTTATCCACGTCTGAGGAGCAGAAATGTGAAGCTGTATTACAGAACTCTTCAGGGTTAGGAGTTGGATGGGAGGTACAGGACTGCCCTGTTTTCTTCCTCCTTCCCTCCCTCTCTCTGAGAAAAACAGGGCTTGAACTGATCTTCCTGCCTTAGCCTCCCCAGTATTGGTATCTAGGTGTCACCATGCCTAGTTTATCCCTCCCTTAAGTATATTTATTTTTTCTGTTTGAAATATTTAAAGTATCTTTATTTTTTTCCCCAAGATTTATTTATTTAGTTTCCAATATTCTGTCTGCATTTATGCCTGCAGACCAGAAGAAGGCACCAGTTTTCATTACAGATGGTTGTGAGCCACCATGTAGTTGCTGGGAATTAAACTCAGAACCTCTGGAAGAACAGTGCTCTTAACCTCTGAGCCATCTCTCCAACCCTTAAAGTATCTTTATTGTTATGATGTCAACAGAAAATTATTAAAGAGACCCAGATACCTAAATAAAAGACTAATATGAAAAGGATAAACAGAATTATGCCAAAGAAAAAAAATAAAACTTAATTGTGTGTGTGTGTGTGTGTGTGTGCACATGCTAGTGTGCAAGCTGAAGTCAGCGATGACCTCTATGTCATTCCGCAGGTGCTTTCCATTCTGTTTGAGAGGATCTCTTTTAGACAGTATATATAAGCTGCTAATATGCTAGAAGTGGTAAGCAATATCTATTTCTTACAAATCTACTTTTTTATTTTGAGATAGGGTTTCTCTGTGTAGTCCTGGCCATCCTAGAATTTGCTTGGTGGACCAGGCTGGTCTCAAACTCAGATCCACCTGCCTCTGCCTCCCAAGTGCTGGGATCAAAGGTGTGCACCACCACGGCCTAGCATCAAGAATCTATAAATAAAGGTCGGGGTGGGGTGGCACATGCCTTTAACACCCTCCCCCCCCCACACACACACTCAGGAAGCAAAGGCAGGAGGATAGGTATGAGTTCAAGGCCAGCCTGGTTTACAGAGTGAGTTCTAGGACAGGCTCCAAAGCTACAGAAAAACCCTGTCTTGAAGAAAAACAAAACAAAACAAACAACACTGTCTTCAAAAAAGAAGTATAATGAATCTCATAGGCATGGTGGAAAGAGCAGTTGTTGCCAGGATGACATAAGGAGAGAGGCAATACATGAATGGAATTATTTTCATATTTTAAATACAAAGAAGCTATACTTCTAATATCAAAAAAACAAACAAACAAAAACCCCAAACACCAGCAGACCCTCCTATGGGAAGAAGGGCGCTGTAGCAGCGGGACTGTTTTGAGGGAGGGAGGAGTGGGTGCCCATACCTCCATGTTCCAGTTATGCTGCTCCAAAGCAAGGCGACACTGCTCCATGGACTCTATGCCAGTCAGATCCTGAAGGGAAGACAAAGCACAAGGTTACTATGGGGCTGAGTGGGTAGAGTGCTTGTCTAGTTAGCATGCAGAAACCAGGTATGGCAGCACACGCATGTACTAGCACCTGGAAGGTGCAGGAAGAAGGGTCACTGTTGGCCACATGGGATGCTGCTGAGATAGACCATTTAGTAACGTGTTTGCCTGCACATACAAGGACCTGAGCTTAACCCTCAGAGCCTATGCACCTGTGGACCACGGAGCACCAGAAAGTGCCTCTCTACAGGGAGCATATCTGGCTCTCTAGGTTCCTTTCTCGCTACTTCCCCTCAGGGATCCAATCTGCAGCAGTTCATATGCATATCACATGCCTAAAAGTCCCACAGTGGTAGGCCCTTCAAAAGGCTGCAGAAGCCACATCCACCTCCATTAGTAGACCTTTCTTTCAGTCAACAGATGCTTAACTTCAGAGGACCATAAACATGAGGTAAGGTAGAATTCCTAATTATTGCAGTGATTTATCTCAACCAGACTGATAAGTCAAAACAAAGTTTCTTGTCTTGACTGTGTACTCTGTACCCAAGAACAAGATGTTTAATTCTGGAATTTAGTTTCCTTTACATACAATGTTTAATCTGGATTTAATCTGGACTAGAAATCCTTTCCACTTTTGTATGAGTGTTCTGCCTGCATTTTGTGCAATACATGTGCAACTGTGGCCTTGGAGGCTAGAAAAAGTGGAGCCATCATGTGGTGCTGGGAATCTAACTTGGCTCCTCTGGGAAAGCAGGCAGTGCTTTTAACCCGTCACCTCTCCAGTCCCCTTTCCAAATGTAACAAACGAAACTCCAAAATTCTGTTTCATTCCTTTTACCCTTATTTTTTAAGACAAGTCTCAATGACCTTGAAGCGCACAGATTGCGAGGCTCCCCAGCACTGCAGTTACAGGGGTTACATTAAAAGCCACCCTCTGGCTTTTACTATGGAGTTTGAAATCTGAACTCAGATTCTCATGCTTGTGCAGCAGGCATTATAGCCACCTGAGCCATCTCATCACAATCGTGTGAAATACTGTATAATAGCTTCACTGGCCTAGGAAGTTATGTCTGAGGACTGCCTGGGCTATCTAACAAGAGTGTGTCTGTCTGTCTGTCTCTCTCTCATACACACACACACGCACACACACAAATAAATCTTAAAATACACACATTTTTCCCTTGGGCAGAAGCAATGGCTCAATGGTTAAAAAGCATTTACTGCTCTTGTAGAGAACCTCAGTTCAGCTCCCAGCACCCATAAAGGTGGCAATCACCTGTAACTCCAGCCAGCTTCAGTACTCTATCTGGGCATAGTGTGGTGTAAGGTTGCAAATTTAGGGCCAGACTAGGCCACTGAATTCTAGGACAACTTTAGCTACACTGTGAGACCAGGTCACAAACACTTTGATTATCAGCTCTCAACCTGTGGGTCGAGGACCCCGGGGAGTGGAGGAGTGTCAAATGATCCTTTCACAAGGGTCGCCTAAGACCATCAGAAAACACAGATGTTTACATTACAATTCATAACAGCAGCAAAATTAGTTATGAAGTAGCAACAAAAATAATTTTATAGTTGGGGGGGTCACCATAACATGAAGAACTATTATCAAAGTGTTGCAGCATTAGGAAGGTTGAGAACCCCTGACCTTGACAAGCTTTCTTTTTTTCCTTTAGGAATATGCACATTCTAAAACCTTGAGGGATATTTCCAAAACCAGTATGAAGTCTTCATAAAGACTATTTCAGTTTACACGGTAAAGCTTGTTTCCAGGGCAAGTCAAAAGTTACCTTATTCCCATTCACTGTCAACAAGTATTTTCCAATGCCAGAGGAGTGGAGAGTTTTCCTTGAAGAGACCCCTTGGTTTTGATGCCACATGTGCTGTCTTGGCAGAAATAAGCTTGGCTATCATGCAACTTAAGGAAGTTGTGGCTCACAGTTTGATGGTGCAGTCCATCATGGCAGGGAAGTGCAGAGAACAGTGCCGAGCACCTACTCGTCACACGGCAAGCACTACCAGGAAGCAGAGAGGAAGATGAACTCTCCTGCTCACCGTTCCTTCTCCTTATCCAGCCAGGACTCCAGCCCACGGGATGGTGCTGCTCACTTCTAGGGCGGGCCTTCCCATGATAATCAATCCAATCTAGATAAACCCTCACGTACAAGCCCAGAAATCTGGTTCCATGATGACAGTCAAGAAAACCATCACAGAAGCGAAACAGAAGTAATGCTAGACTTAATGGCTTCAGAGATTTCCCCAGATTATAATTTCATCTTCTAAAAATATTTATTTTTGCTTATGCGTATGTGTCTGTAGACGCCATTTGTGTGATGGACAGAAGAGGGTGTCAGATTCCCCTGGAAGGAAGTGACAAGCGGCTAGGAACTAAACTCAGGTCTTCTAGAAGAGAAGCAAGTGCCCTGAACCATTTCTCCAACCTATCATTTTTGTTTTTTAAAGCATTTTGTGTGTGTGTGTGTGTGTGTGCTGGGGGGTTAAATCCAGGATCTCACACAGGCTCACTATACCCTCAGCCCTGCTTGCAGTGTAATGTCATTCATTAGAAAATGAGTGACTCAGCCCTGTGGTGGTAGTTCAGGCAGCAGCAGCATTCATGCCTTTAATCCCAATACTCACAAGATAGAGGCAGGTGGATCTCTGAGTTTAAGGTCAGTCTAGTCTACAGAATGAGTTCCAGGACAGCCAGGGCCACACAGAGAAACCCTGTTTCAAAAAACAAAAATCAAACAAACAAAAAAAAAAACACAAGAAGGCCAGGCAATGGTTGGTGCACATCTTTAATCCAGCACTAGGGAAGCAAAAGCAGGCGGATCTCTGTGAGTTCAAGGCCAGTCTGCTCTATAGAGGGAATTCAAAACAAAACAAAACAAAAAATTAAGGAAATAAAATTAATGACTCTCCCACAACCCTGACAACAGATTTCATTTCTTTTTTTCCTCTTCCCATTCTCTCTTTCTGTCTGCTCATATATTGGTACGTGGGGGGGAGGGGTACAGGACGAACCTAGGTATTTTCCTCAGTAATCACTCAACTTATTTGTTTGGTTGCTTTTTTGAAAACAGGATGCTAGAATTAAAGGCATGTGCCACCACCGCCAGGCTTCCTCATTTCTTTTTTTTTTTAAAGATTCATTTATTTATTATGTATATAGCATTCCTTCCATGTCTGAAGAGGACACCAGATCTCATTATAGATGGCTGTGAGCCACCATGTGGTTGCTGGGAATTGAACTCAGGACCTCTGGAAGAGCAGTCAGTGCTCTTAACCTCTGAGACATCTCTCCAGCCCTTCCTCATTTCTTACACATCATTCTTAATAGTTTTGTTTCTACTGTGTCAGAAACTATTTTGACTATCTTCACTATATTGAATAATTCTATGAGAAAAGTATTACCATCATGTCATGGCCACCATGAGTTAAAAGATCTGTGTACGGAGTCAGTGAACAATAGAAGCAAAATCTTCCTAACCAGTCTGCTCCTCAGAGTGAACCTGGCTCACATTCAGATGCACTGACATCCATGTGGCTTGAGGCAACACTGGAAGGAACAGGTGCAATTGGAACAAAGGCTAATTTACATTTTTTGTTTGTGAGCTTAGCATTTAATGGCTCAGCCACCTCTCCAGCCCACAAAGGCTAACTTTATCACTGTGGTTCCTTCTCCCACTATTCTCTTGCCATAAGGCAAATGTCAGCAATTGTTGCCACACATCCCCTCAGGCAGGCCCATCTGAGTATGTCTTACTCCCCTACTTCTCAGACAATACTCCTCCATGAAGTGACCTCCCAATGATTTAGGAGCAGCATTCAGATAGAGTAATTTACACAAAAATGTAAACGATGACAGCATTAGAGAGAGAAGGGGTAATATTTATTGTTGGGAACCCTCCTGCATTCCAATCACAAGTACTATGTAGAGGGACATTAGAAGAATGTGAACTACTTTCCTCCATCCAACCCTGTGCTAACTTCTCCCTAGTCAGAAGTTAACTTGATCACTTGGAAAACAAATACTTATGACTGCTGATTTAGCTCTTAGGAGAGAATAATTCAAGGAGGAAATCACAACAGGCTGAGTGTGTAACAATTTAACTAGATGTCTTAATGAACTATTTGGATATGGATTGAGAAATCACCTGGCCTTCTTAACTCTTTCACTTTCCACATCTCAAGTGTTGGTAATAACACACTCAGCAGACATCTAAGTGCTCTATACTCCAACTGGCTTGCTAAGGCTTATATTTTAAGCTATTCTGAGAGTAAAACTTGGCAAACAAAACAAACTACAACAACAACAACCAAAACCAGGTAACCTTTGTTTTCTCCTCCCCAAACAAGGCAGGTTTGCTTACTTGTAATTTAAAGTGATGGCTACTAGGCTGAGCTGTAACTAAAGCTCCTAAAAGGTCTTCATTGTCTACATTTAATTTTCATCTCCTAAATTAAACAGCAGCAATTCCCACTTACTAAGCACTGATATTAGGTGATAAGTAAGCACTGTGTACGTAAAAGCCCTCATTTTTAGAAACGAGAAAGCCAAGGATCCAAAGGTCACTGCCTGGTCAATAGTCCTTGATAGCAGTGAAAGCTAGAACCAACTTCCAATGTCCAGGTTCTCTTAAGCAAATGTCTCCCAGTATTAGATTCTCATGTTTGAAAACAAGTTCCCAATTCTTAATTCAAAAAATTTAAATGTTGATTGAAAATACAATATGGCTGAGTGGTGGTGGGGAAAAGCAGAGACAGGTAGATCTCTGAGTTCAAGACCAGCCTGTTCTACAGAACAAGTTTCAGGACAGTCAGGGCTACAAAACAAAACAAACAAAAAAGAAAAAAACACACACAACAACAATTAAAAAAAAGAAAGAAAAGAAAAAGAAGGAAAAATACGTATTTTTCTTCTTTATGCACAGAACCAATAAATAGATTTATACAACCTGCTCTACAAGAGTTAGTTCCAG